AATTATATTTTAATCAAAATTTATTTTGATGATTTATTTGGAAGAGAAAAATAGAATCAAAATTGATTTTGATGATTTATTTGAAAGAGAAAAATAGAATCAAAATTTATTATGTCCCATTATTTCTCACCTAAACCTTTATTCTAAATGTTGTTAGAATGTATTTAATATTTGATTAAATCAGGAGTTCAAACAACCCAAAACAAAGGTTCAAATAGCCTAGCACATCAACAGGCCAAAAGGTTCAAAAGGTTCAAATGGAAAATATTTAAATTAGTAATGATGGAAGTATAACAGCTATAAACGGTTATAAACGGCTATAAAGGTTCAAAATGCCAAAATGTTCAAGTGGAAGATATTCAAATTTATAATGATAGAGTGGAAGATATTCAAATTGGTAATAATGGAAGTACAACGGTAATAAACGACTATAAGTACAACGGCTATAAATTCAAATGACTACAACGGCTATAAACGGCTATAATTTTCGTTATATATACCAAAACTTATAATGTAAACAAATTACAAAAAATCTGAAAATATTCTTTGATTTATAATAACTCACATCTATTCTCAGAAATTATACACTGAGCCTTATAACTTTAAGCCCATATTTCCTGTGTGAGATTTACAAAAAAATCAAAGGTTCATTTTATATATTTATCTTTAAAAGATATTATTGTAAGTTTTCTTTGAAAGCAAAAATACAATTTCATCTTGTAAAAGTGTTGCAAACACTGTATTCTTGAAATCTTGAGAGTGATTGTGAATCACCTAAGATTTGCAAGGGTTTAGACTTGTGACGTCTGTGTAAAATCCGTAGAGGATTGCTCCATTTGTAAAGAGGTTGATAGCACCCCTGTGAAGCTAGAAGACAGTGAAAAATCTCAAGTGAAGCTTGAGGAGTGGACGTATAAATTTGAGTGAAGCCGAGTTAAAGCCGAACCACTATAATTTTGTTTGCCTCTCTCTCCCTTATCTCTTTCTTTATTTTAAATTGCCATAGCTAAATTTCACATTTTTACTGTGCTAAAATCATTAACTGACACTACAAGAAAACAGCCCAAATAACACGGAACTTTTTGCGACGGTATAAGTACCGTTGCAAAAAGTGGTCTTTTGCGACGACATTTTCAAACCGTCTCAAAAAATGGTCTTTTGCGACGGTGCTGACCCCGTCGCTAATGAATATATCACAAAAAAACATAAAACATTTGCGACGCCTGATATACCGTCGCAAATTTTTTTTTTTGAGACGAGAACATTTACTGTCGCAAAGGTATTGTTAAAACGGTGTCGTTTTGTTTGTTAGGATTCATCATTTGTGACGGTTAAAGTACGCCGTCGCAAAAATTAATGGAATTTTTTCTATCCCGCTCATTTCAAGCCTATTCGTGGTCATGTGTTTCCCTAAAATTCCCAAACCTTTCTGAACCAACCCAAAATCCCCAAAACCATTTTGAAGCAAAATCTCCAAAGCCATATCAACTTTGATTATTGTACAAATTTGTTGATGGCGGAAGCGAAGATCCATGACCTAGACCGATCTGAGTTCTGAAACTGGGAATACCTCCCAATCCATGAACCGCGATGTTTCGGCCGAAGAACAGACCAGGCACAACATCAACGCCATTGGCAGTAAGCTTTCCGATTCGGGCCTCCTCTGAACTTGAATATCGTGAATCGGCAATAGCGTGGGCAAAATGGAACCGGAGGTGAGATTCTGGAGATCCGCGAGGGATAACCGGAGAGGAATGATGTGGTAGCGGAGGGCGGTGATGTAAACAGAGGCCGAAGAAGTCATGTCGAGAGCGAAGAGAGAAGAGTCGGTGGGGACGAAGACGGTGAAGGAAGTTCCGGCGAGGAGATCGAAGTAGAGGTCGGAGGTAGTGAGTTTGTTGCAGAAGAGGTTGTAGCCTCTGGTTCTCAACACCGCCAGCATCGATTCGAGTTCTTGGTCTGGTACAGCGATGATGGTGACAGTGACGGTGACGGTGGAGAGGAGGAAAAATATGAGGAGGAAGTTGCAAAACCCCCAACTTTTGGTAAATATTTTCCAAATAGTACAACTTTTTGTAGTTTGTTATATTGTTATATGTGTTCTGAATTGATAGGGGAAAATGGAACAAATGAATGACCACATAAGAAAACTTAAGCTCTATTTAATCCCTCCCCAGGTATGGTTGATGGACAAACTGCAGGTTGTGGACTCTTGCCCAGCGTATTCAGTTCACGGCTACTTTTTCTGGCACCGTCTAGTCAATGCTCTGGATGAGGGATGGTGGTTTGCTTGGATGTGCCGCTTGTCCACAGACCGTATTGCTTGGCGGTGCCCTTGGCTGAGCCTTCCGGCAATGAGTTACAATTTGCCCCGGCAGACTGGGATTCAATTGGTTGGTCTCACTCACTATGCATTCTACTTCCCATTCCAGATTCGACGCCAATTTGGCCATGATCAGACCTGCCCGCCAGAGGGGATAGAGTATCCTGCTACATTCCCAGCCCGAGGCGCACAGCTTGCTTGGCAGGCCACCGCGTGGAGCACGAGAGAACTCCTGGCCCCCGCTCCTACTTTCAGTTGCACTTTGTCTGATGAGTGCTTGGATTGGCTTAATGAGGAGGCACAGGTCGGGCCCATCTTGGCGTTAGAGGCTTCGACCAGCTCTGGGAGGGGGCGCAGGAGCACCTAACTTGACTATGCCCCGGATTTATTGCTTTATTAGTACTTTCAAGTCTTCTTCATGAATGTAGTAAAAAGCAACTTCAATTGTATGCAAGAGCAGGAGAACTCTGTTTTGAAATCAATGAAATTGAAGGTTGTGGTACTGAAAATTTTCCGCTTTGGTCCAAAAATGATCAAAGTTGTAAAAAGATTATTTTGAACAAAGTCAGCTTTTATTAAAACTTCTCAAAATCATTTTCGATGTGGATCAGAACTGGACACGCCTGAGATCTGTCACCGAGATGCACAACCCTGGATCCCTGCAACTGGAAAGTTGCCCCTAGTCTGAAGAGCACCGCAGCACTGCGCAGCAACGGAAAGTTGCCCCTAGTCTAAAGAGCACTGCACCGGAGATCATAACCGAACCCTTGAATGCTGAATAGACAAAGATGGCCGAGACGATCAAATGGACAAAGTTGATCGAGGAAGTGTTATGGCTGAACTTCAGGATGAAGCTGCCTACGTATCCCAAAGATGGGAATCAAGTCTTACGTAGTTCAGGCTTAGGTTCACTCGAGTACTTTCACTCTCCTTTTACGCTCTAACTTTTGCCAAGGTCTCCCTTTGCGGGTTTTCAACCTTGCGAGCTCAGTTTTTTATATTTTCCAATTTTTTGTGCTCTAACTTTTGCCCAGGTCGCCCTTTCAGGTTTTCGGCCTAGTGAGCCTCTCAGGGGTAATATTTCTTCAACTTGTCTATGTTAATCGGTTGGGAGAATTCCAGGCCATCTAGGTCCATCAGAACCACAGCTCCACCTGACCAGATAGCTTTGATGATGTAGGGACCAGTCCAATTAGGTCTGAACTTGCCCCTTGGGTCATGGATGGGAGCTCGGTTATCTTTGAGCACCAAATCTCCTTCCTTTAGATTCCTGGACTTAACTTTCTTGTTGAAAGCCCGGGCAATTCTGCGTTGATAACTTTGAACATGGTACAGTGCTTTCAGTCTTCTTTCATCAAAGAGCATGAGTTCCTCAAACCTGCTCTACTGCCAATCTGCTTCGGCTATTTGACACTCAGCCAATACTCATAATGACGGAACCTCAATTTCGATAGGTAGAACGGCCTCCATCCCATAAACTAATGAATACGGAGTCGCTCCGGTAGAAGTTCTAATTGAAGTCCTGTAGCCCCACAGAGCAAACGGCAGCTTATCTGGCCAATCCCGGTAGGTTTCCACCATCTTCCGCAGTATATGCTAGATGTTCTTGTTTGCGGCCTCAACTGCTCCATTGGTTTGCGGCCGGTATGTGGATGACTTATGAAAAGCCACGTTATATTTCTCCAACAAGTCAATTACTTCCTTCTTAAAGTGGGAACCATTATCCGAAATAATCTCGTTTGGGACTCCATAGCGGCAGATGATGTTGTTTCTGATGAACTTTGCGACGTGCGATGCCTTCAACACCGCACATGATTGGGTCTCGACCCACTTCGTGAAATAATCTATCGCGACCAAAATAAACTCATGCCCATTCGACCCTTTTGGAGTAACAGCCCCGATCACATCAATTCCCCAAACTAAAAATGGCCATGGTGAAGTCATGTTGTACAGCTTTGACGGCAGGATATTCATGCAATTCGCATGGATTTGACATTTGTGGCATCGCCGAACAAAGCTAATACAATCCTCCTCCATGGTGGACCAGTAGTAACCCTGTCTGAGGATCTTCCGTGCTAGCATTACTCCGTTCATGTGCGCACCGCACTCTCCTCCATGGATGGCCTCTATCAGGCGCTTTGATTCTTCGGCTTCGACACATAGCTTGTGCATTCCCAGATGGCCCCTCTTATACAGCTTATCCCCCACAGATGATGAACTGAACGGCCATTCTTCTGATTGCCCTTTTATCCTTGGCATTTACCCCTAGTGGATATGCTTCCTTCTCCAAGAAGTTCCAAATGTCGTAATACCAGGGGTTGTCGTCCCGAACTTCGTCTATGGCAGCGATTGATTCATGCGCCGGCACAAACTTCTGATCAATGATAACTGGACGCATCCAGACTCTGGACGGGATGTCAATCATGGAAGATAGAGTTGCTAGTGAATCTCCGAACCTGTTGTTCTCTCTTACTAGATGAGTGAAAGTTAGCTTCTCAAACTGAGGAATTAACAAGTCCAAGGTCTGGGGGTAAATTATCATTTTTTCTTCTTTGACTTTCCAGTCTCCTTTTGCCTGAGACACAACAAGGTTTGAGTATTAAATGAAAATTGGATGGTGATTATATTTTGAACATTCTTAATACATACCAAATGCGCACTAAAAAGATCATTAAGTGTCTTTAATTTTTCCTTTTATGTTGATTTTTCGATGTGGTGTAATTCATCATTCGGCTATATTTACTTATCTGCCAAAAAAAAAAAAATCTGATAAATTATGATTCTAATACATTTATGTAACTTTTACCCCCCCCTCCTCTTCCCTATTTTGTCAATATTTGGAGGTTTTGTTTATGTATGGATGAATAAAACACAGTTACTGATCATAGATCTACATAGTAATAGGCTTGTTATGTAACTATTCTGTTATTCCAATTTCAGTGATTTTTTGGGTGCACAGTAGAGCTAGTTAGCATCGAGTGATGCTAAACATGCAGTGTTTGTTTTTTCTCCTCAGGTTAATAGGTACACTGTTGTCATACATGGAAAACCCTAGGAACTATTTTCTACAGATTGACACATGATAGGGCTGGTTGGGTGCAGCTTATTGGAGTTTGTTATACCTTTTTATTTTGAAAATATGGGTGAGAACTACTGCATGCAACTTTTTAAAACTTACCAAGAAATTAGTTTAAATAAGATTTGAAAAAATTTATTATTAGAAAGTTACAGAGAGGATGTTTTTAATTTCTGTTTACTAATTATTAATTTTTAACTTATTAAAAGCTATGCCAAACAAAGTGTGCTCAAGAATATTAAAGTTTTTTATTGGTTAAATTATTTTATTTATTTATTTATTTATTTATGTTAAGGAATTTGCAAGATAAGATATTTTGGACTTCCTTAGATATTATCTTTGTAATTATATAGTAGTTAATTTTTTATATTTTTTTGTAATTAAAATATTAACACATAATTATATTGTCATTAATTATTTTTATTTTTTGTTTTCAGATATTTCTCGAGTAGCAGTTTGCTTCTTGCGGAATACAGGCGTGTGAAGATTGCGATTTACTTTTGTTTTTGTTGTCCATGGAAGAATCATGAGGGAAACTTTTATTTTTGATTTACGTTATTTTGAATTCTGAACAATATTATGTATTTAAACATTGTGTATGTATTATGCAATATTATGTAGTAGGATAATTTTGCTAATGTGTTGTAATGAATGAATGCAAGAATATTTGTATTATGGATGAATTGTTATTTTTGTACTGGATTTTTTATATTATTATGTAATTATTGGTTTCTTTTTTAATTATTTTTCATTTAATACAGGTAATTTTTTATATTTTTAATAATTTTACTGCAGTTTATTTATTTATTTATTTATTTTTGAGACGGCACCACATTGCCGTCGCAAATGATACGGGCAGATTGAGACAAAAGTTTTTTGCGACGGTACTCTTTGCCGTCGCAAATAATCTTTTAGCGACGGCGCATCGTGCTGTCTCAAATATTTTTTAGCGACGGCATTTTTTGCCGTCGCAAATAACACCTTTAGAGACGACAACACAGTGCCGTCTCAAAAAATTTCAGATTTTTTCGCATTAATGGCGACAGAAAAATGCCGTCGCAAAAAGCACCACATTGCCGTCGCAAATGATACGGGCAGATTGAGACAAAAGTTTTTTGCGACGGTACTCTTTGCCGTCGCAAATAATCTTTTAGCGACGGCGCATCGTGCTGTCTCAAATATTTTTTAGCGACGGCATTTTTTGCCGTCGCAAATAACACCTTTAGCGACGGCAACACAGTGCCGTCTCAAAAAATTTCAGATTTTTTCGTATTAATGGCGACAGAAAAATGCCGTCGCAAAAAGCTAACTTTGCCGTCGCAAAAAAAAGGCGACGGTAATGTCCCGTCGCTAAAACCCTTTTGCAACCCCCTTTGTTGCGACCCCCCACTTGCCGTCGCTAAAAGTCATCTGCCGTCACAAAAAACCTTTTGAGACGGCATTTTGAGTATTTGCGACGGCATTTTACCGTCGCAAAAAGTCAAATTTTTTGTAGTGTGACATAGTTGTTAAGACACTTGTTTTAATTATTTTTATTTCATTAATTATATGTATCTATTGTGTTAGTCATAATTTTTATTAGGGTATTATTAATTTTAATTGTAAAAACCTAATTTACCCCATCTTAGGTTGTCTTTTAGGTAATAATAAGGTTTGACTCTTGTAACAAAATAAATTCCAATTTTTTAATTTTGTCAATTTAAATTTTACTTTTTTATTGATTTTCAATCTAAACTATCTGTCTATTAAACTCTATACAACAATGGTAATTTACATATTTTTATACACCTATATTGAGTTTAATGATTAAAATATATTTTTTCAATTAGTTTTACTTAACGAAAATAGACAAATGCTTTAAATTGAAAGCAAATAAAAAAAATTAGAGTTTAAATTAAAAAAAATTAAAAATTTATTTTGTTTCAAGAATCAAACTTTAATTATTATTTTTATTTTTATTTTCCCTATTAATTTTGCTCAAGGTTAAAGTTAAAGGTGGTAATGCATTCATCGAAAAAATTAATTCTATTCAATAATCATACATTTTTATTTTATTACATTTGTCTATGAAAAAATGAATGGCATGTATGTTTTTAAAAATAGATTTCTTTTAAAAGACAAAAGTGATAAAATAAAAATATTATGATTTTTTATATGAATAATATGCCCGAAAAACTTAGTTTGGAAAACAAATAATACCTAAGAATTAAAAAAAGCAAATTTTTAGTACCCTAAAAAATTGCTATAATTTGAGAGCCCAACGCAAGCCGCCTTCTTCTCGGGCTGATCAATTTAGAATATGTTACCCAAACCAAAACTTGATAAGTTTTTTGGTTTTTTGGGTGAATCAAACCTTATTTTCTAAGCTATTTTTGAGAAGAATTTTTTATCTTCATTTTTTATATATTTTAATTTGATTAAAAAAATTTCCTGTAGAATGAATTTTTAATTTTTTTTTTAGTTTTGTGAGAGAAAAGTGAAATAATTTTGATTTGAATATGACATTTTATCTTATTGATTTTTTAATCTATTTTATCTTTTAGTAAATTAAATTAATCCCATCTATCTTACCAAATAGGGCCTTAGTTAGGGCTGAGCAAAAATTCGTGAAATCCGTAATCCGATCTAGTCTAGTCCAATCGGTAAGTTTGGATTGGTTTTTTGAATCCGTGGTTTGATTCCGGATTGAAAAATTAAAAGTCCGTAGTCCACGGATTGGTTCCGGATTGAAATCGATCCGAACCGTATATAAATAGTCTATATTTTTATTATACACCCTCCCACATAGTATCTTTTCTTATTCCATATAAAACTTAAACCCAAACCTAAACCCGCATAATATCTTATTTTATTAGTTTTGTTTGTTAGTTTTTAGCTTTAATTTGTAATGGTCTAAATACTTATGGTAAAACCAGTTTTCTTATATTTGTTTAAATTCTAGCATGTCGCTATTATGAAAAGATATGTTGCTATTGTGAAACTAATATGGTGCTATATTTATATTTTTATGAAATTAAAGTATTATATATTTTTTTGTTATTTAATTATGTGAATTCGTGATCCTAAACCGATCTAATCCGTGTTTAAATGGATCGGTTCAAATTGATTCCACGATTTAAACGAATTGAATTAATTCTAATTTCTAAAAAATTATAAATAACAAATTAAGAGTGCTGCTATTAGCACCTGTCAAAATTCTTTGGACCCCCATTTGATAATTTTTTTTATTACAACTATGCCCTAAAGTAAAATTACATTAAAAGACATTATGAAATAGAACACCTACTTATCAATAATAACTAATACTCTATAATATTGGACACCCACCCCTAATCATCTTGAATCCTGAATGTGTCATCTTCATCATCATCATCAACGCTATTGAACTTGAAAGTTTTGCTTCAAGTATAACGTATACTTCATCACTTATTTCACTGTGTAGAGCAATGGAGGACGAGGACAACATTCTCGGTCGTTTATCTGTCTTGTATTAACATTCTCGGTCGTTTTCGGTCGTTCTTGTTTCGTTTGAGCTGTTCGGTACTGGTTTGCTGACTGTTATAATTATGTTCAATAATACAGTACTGAACATAATCCTTTCGTTCAATACATAGGTTCTGAACATGAATACAGATAGTCAGTTATGTAATTTTCTTTGTTAAACTAACTTAGAATGGAAAAGAGTGAATTGGAATGGATTTAAGTTATGTATTTTGAATGAATTTAATTCATGTGTATTTTGAGTTGTGAATTAGAATGGATTCAAGTTACACAGTGATGAACAAATTTTGTTCGGACATACAGTGCTGATAGGATCATTATTGTTCAACAAAACAGTTCTGAACAAAATACATTTTTTCGGCTACACAGTGGTGAACAAATTGGGTGGGTGTGCATTTCATTGTGAAAATATGGAGATTAGTTTTCTATTCTGAAAATATTATGAAAATATTATGGAGATTAGTTTTTCATATATATACATTGTTTTCTATTCCTACGGCTACACAGTGGTGAACAAATTGGGTGGGTGTGCATTTCATTGTGAAAATATGGAGATTAGTTTTCTATTCTGAAAATATTATGAAAATATTATGGAGATTAGTTTTCCATATATATACATTGTTTTCTATTCCTACAATTCGCATCAATCTTCACTTTCTGATCTGAATTTCCCAATCAATGGCAAATTCCAAAGAGACCCATGTCGTTGAAATCCTAATCGACGAAGAACACCAACCCCACAAGTAAATGAATTGTGATTTTAGGAACCATTTTTTAGATGTGGTTAATGTTGGAAAGAGAAGAGAGAGAAAAAACTAGGGTTTTGAAGGGGTTTTGAGAGAGAGAGAGAGAGAGAGAGAAAAGAGAGAGAAAAGAAAGAAAAATCTTCACTTTCTCATCTGAACAAAAAGGATTTTGAGAGAGTGAGAGAAAAGAGAGAGAAGAGACATCACTGATGAGGAGAGAGAGAGAAGAGAGGGAGGTAGAGAGTGGGTGTGGTTGGGGGTGTGAATTGTGTGCATATGTTGGAATGGATTTAGGTGGGTGTGCATTTCATTGTGAATATGGATAGATTTGATAATAAATGAAGTATTCAAAAAAATATTATTAAAATTTAAAATTTAGGATTAGGGTCCAAAGAATTTTGATGAGTACTAATAATAGCACTCCAAATTAATCCTAATTTTATTTCAACCTGGACCATACTCACCCCTAACCTTAGGTTAGTCAGGTTGAGCGGTCCATGTTACAAACAAACCCGTAAGAAACAAAAAGCACATTTGGGCACTATTTGACATTCCAAAATTAACACACTTTTTATCATTCTATTTTTTTTAAAGACATTTTGACCTGGTTTGGGGAGCGACTGATTTAGCAAAAAAATCAAAAAAAATTATTAAAAAAGTTAAAAAATCAACAATTCATATTAAAAAGTCAAATATTCTCTTTTTTCTCTACTTTTTATACATCTTTTCATAAAAAATCAATAAATCATCACAATCATACTAATTTTTTTAGTTTATATTTTAATCAAATAGGTAAAAAATTATTAAATTAGCCTATTCCAAGTTGACGCCAAAACGTATACATATTTGGCTGATCCCAAACACCCTCTTGGGTTTTTTTTAGAAAGGAGAGAATAAAAAATAATCAAAGAGGAATTTTCTAGTGTAGAAGAAAGAAAGAAGACGAAGTCAATCGGGGACGCCGGAGCTGCTGTTACGGTGGTTGTCGCCGCTACGTAGTTTCACTGCCGTTAGTCCTTTTTATATCTCAAATATATACTATTTACGCTGTTTGGTTGCTGAGAAAACGAAGAAAAGAGAAATAAAATTTTAACATTTTAATAATTCTAGAGTTTTTCTTGTTTAGAACCGTACAAAAATGCTGTTTCTACTCTCTTTAGATGATTCTTTCATTTTTGCGAAACCCAAACACCAAACCATAAGAATAATTTTATATATACTCTTTTTGTGTGCGCGCTCGCGCGCGTGTTAAACTTCGTTGAGAAGTATGAAATTCTTTATAAGGCGATTGATTTGTCTAAGGAATTAACTAATCTCACTCTTTTATGCTAGTTATTGTGGTAATCACTCATGTAGTGCTTGCATTTGAGATTTTAAGCTCGCACTGTATGTGTTCGACTTTTTGTTTCTGTGACATGTATCCACCTTTGTAGACCTGTGTTGGCAATCAGATTGGAGAAAACTATGGGAATTTTATTGTCAGAGTTGCTTTTGTTGTTTCTACTGCTTTCTGAACAATTGAAAGACTCATGAATCAACCCCCATTCTATTTTTTGATATAGTTAGTTATTTTTCATTTAGATTTTTCACAGGCATTGCCTTGCAAATGATGTACGTTGATAATTGATGTGATGGTAAATGAGTAGAAGAAAATGTAAACCCAGTTGCTATTGGCTCTACCCAATTGGCATTCGTGATTAGAATTCCAAAATGGTTATGAATCAATGGCTGCAATTCATAGCTCTGATAGTGTTTTGTTTATTTCTTGTTCTAAAACCAAAAATAACGCAAAACTACAAAGTCATATGGGTTCATATAATATGGTCATTCCCCATTTCAAGTTAGCTTTCTATTCTAGGAATTGGACAGGTTATGTTCTCTCTTTTTAGCCCTAGTTAAAACCTATTTTTCAGAATATGGGGACTTCAACATAATTGCAGATCCAGTGGCAATGGCTGTGGAGTTTGCCTTTAAAATAGATGCAGGACACTGTCACAATGATGTTAAATCCTTTGTGAAGTTCATATCTTTGGGAACCTCCTTGAAAGCAGTAATATATTGGCATTAGGAAAATGCTATGTAAACAAACTTTTTGTATAACTTTTATTTATTTTTAATAAATTGTTGTGGCCTGCAATAACAAACCATTGATAAGAACAACTCAGCTACAATATCAGTTTGTTTGTATGGCATTACTCTTTTCATTAATATACATAATTCTTACCTTAGGAATTTTTTCAGGGCTCTAGTGCTATGAATTCTGATGACTAGTCAAAGTGTATTGCACAGCATGGTTTTCTATAGTTGTCTAATCTCAACTGCGAAACTGAAACTTTTGCATAAATTTCCAGTATTTATGTTGTTCCCTCCTTGTGTTTGTGCACATCTTTGTCTCAAATTTGATATTGAACCATCTTGGTGCAATTTTGTGTCTCTGCTTCTCACGTGACTCTGTTATGAGTTTTCCATCTCGATCAGTAACTTTTGCTGCTATGTGTAATTGAGCCATGCAGAAGCTAGTATTCTCCTATGGGATCTGAAGAACCAAAAGATCAATTGAAAGGAATGGACTGGAAAAATATTGGTGATTCCATCCATAATGAGCCCAGTGCAGGGCCTGTTACTAAGAAACGGCTTCCAAGAAAGGTTAGGCAAATCCCAGATTGTTATTTTCTTCCTCGGAGATCATTACCCTCTGCAATTGCCTTTTACGGGGCATGGATTGTTGCTGGAGTTGGTGCAGGGATGCTGGCAGAAATTTGGATAAACAAGAAGGTCAAAGGTATGCCCTTCATTAGCCTAAGGATGTGTTTGGATTTTGGATTTGGTAAGGGATTTGTGGAGGGAAAGGAAATGTGGAGAGAAATGTAAATGAAATATAAGCTAATTTTTTTTTATTTTTCACTTTTCTTTTCCCTCCACAAATCCCTCTCCAAATCTAGGATCCAAACACAACCTAAATATTTACCGGTCATAAGTTTAGATTGAACACCAAGCATTTGTTGGTTGGTTGGTTGGTTATCAAAACACATGGTGATCTAAATATGATGTTCTTCAAGTGAAATTTGAAGAGTAAGACAGCAGGAAGTGTTTGCAATGAACAAATATTTCTATGCCTTATACTTGAGAAAGATTTAAGTTTGGTTATTGAATGGGTAAATTGGAATAGCACATGAAAGTTTTTGGTTCAAGACTGATAAAGATTGTTATTATGATTTAATGGTTGATATCAATAAGGGTTACATACCGAACTTGCAATTTCAAAGCATTCCTCTACAAAACTAGAGGAAGTTGCTTTCCTTCCCTTTCCTTTAGAAAATTGTGCAATCTATAAAGTAAATTCTTAAATTTATTTGTTGTTAGATGATTTGTCATCCTCTTTCTGTATTTGCGCACTTAACTATAGCTAACTTGTGATTTTTTTTTTTTTTTTGTTTTGGTTTTGGTTAAGCAGAGGATGGTGGTATCATTTGGGAGTTTGACAAATGAAAACTGGAAGTCACATTCCAAGGAACTCTCCTGATTGGTGGCCAACAAATTAGTTGAAATCCAAATATCAGTTTTAAATGTTACAGTTTTGGTATTATTACAAACATATGTTATGTTGTTTCAAGCTTTTCTCTTTGATTAGCTTTGATTTGTTCTTTGTAGTACGGGAAACTTAATTAGAAGTTGTTTTAGATTGTTTGAGATGGTTGAATCCTTGTGAATCCAATGGAAAGTTTATTATCAGATAGATTATGTTCTAACATGCCCTCCTCTGAATACTTTTGCTCATGTCTTTTGAGTTTTTAGTGGCCTGTTTGGAAAGTAAGAAAGTATCTGGAAAGTTGAATTTTGTTTCTCTGCAGTTATGAGGCAATTTGTCATTCGCATGTTTGTATCTGCAGCACATTTTCACTTCAACCTCTGCACATGTTGAGAATGGGAATGCAGTGTGTAAACTTCTTCCTATGAGGAAACCGCAAAAAACACTAGCGTTGTGTTTGGTTGGAGGATTTGGGAAGGGAAATGGAAAGGAAAATGGAAATGAAAGGAAAAGGAGAAAGAATTAATAGAATTCCAAATCCCAACTATGTTTGGTTGTGTTGGGAAAGAGAAATGCAATTCTATTTTTGTTTGGTTATAATAGAAAACATATTGGAAAAGAAAGGGAGAGGGAAATGAATTAAGAAATAGGAGGACCTTCTAGAACATCAATTCCTTTATATCTGTGAGAAAAGACCCGGGAAAACTAGGAGGAAAAATTTATCGGGGAGAGAGTTTCATTGTTCATGGCCTCTTGCAGGAGACCATTCATGAGTAGCTTCAAACAACCACCACTGACGAGTTTTGAAGATCTAACTCCTGAAGCAAAATCTGATTTTCAGCATCATTCAGCAAACCCTTCCAATCAGGGATCATCATTTGCTTCAATTGGTAATCTTCAGTCACTGAACTCGATTGAAGATTCATTGCTTGGAAATTTCGATCAGGTATTTGTGCCCCTCTTTCGTTTTCTCTTACCTTCTCATCAAACTCAAATTTGTATTGATTTCCATGGATTTGTTTATTTATGTTCAAGCTGCTTTGCAATTTTGCTTTGAGGTGAAATTGCATATCTAACTCTGGTAGCCATCTCTGATTTGCAGCATCATTCAGCAAACCCTTCCAATTGGGGATCATCATTTTCTTCAATTGGTAATCTTCAATCATTGAACTTGGTTGAAGATTCATTGCTCGAAAATTTTGATCAAGTGTTTGTGCCCCTCTTTCGTTTTCTCTTCCCCTCTCATTAAACTCAGATCTGTATTGAAAATTCCATACACACACACCTATATATGTTTTATTATGAATAAGAGATTATAGATACATCTATTTATTTATCTATGTTCAAGCTGCTTTGCAATTTTGCTCTGAAGTGAAATTGCAGAAACCCTTTTTGTTTTCTAAGTAGTTTGATGATTTAATATCTTCTTTTCACTTTGCATGGCTTTAATGAGATTAAACTACCACCTCCACTTCACCTACTCTCCACCTACTCCCAAACACACTCCTATATAATAGGAATCCTTGTAATTGTAATATCTACACAAATACATTTTCTGTTTGTTTTATTTTGTTTGTTTATATGTTTGTTTGTTATGACAATTTGCTTGTTATAGTCTATAGATGTTTGCCTATTTGGTTTATTTCACTTTCTTTTGTTTCGTGCTTTTTCATGATTTCAAGCTTTATAAATTAACCCTTTCATTCTCGTGAAATGTTTGATTGAATGTTTATTTGAAACGTGAGCTTTTGGATGGTCTGTTGCATTGGATTAAATTAGTTTTGGGTAATATGAGTATAGATCATGTCAAATGAATTTGTAGGACAGTAGAAGTGGTGTATGATAGAAACAGTCCTATATTTGATAATGAGGTTCCATTTATCACCAGTAGGAGATGTTGCTTTAGTAAACCCATTTTTCTTATGGTAGAGTCCTTATCTACTAGCTGTCGAGTGTGAAGATAAACTAATATTTGAAGAGTGGTCAGTCATTTTTTCTGTGTGTCAAGTTATATTACTCTTTTTCAGGAAGGCTTTGATATTTGCACTTGCTTTTATCAGTGTGTGCAAGAAGTCCTTCCACGAAAATTTGATAAGATGGATCAACTGACTGTTGAAAAAGATTGGTACATGTTAACTTCAAGCAGAGTATTTGTTTGTATTATTTAAATTAAAAGGGGTAGACTCTATTCTGCGTTAAATTAGTTGACTGGGAAAACAGGTTTGAAGCATTGTACCCAAATGGGTTGTCATTTGAGTGTTGCCTAGTCTATGAACTTTTTAATGTATCATTTCAGTTCTGGACTTGGAACTTTTTGATGTATCATTGCAACATGGAAACATTATTAACAAGCGGATGTGATTTTTTATTTTAAAAAATTGTAGATTCATGATCAAAGAGGAATGAGAAAAGTATAGAAAGTGGGCAGCCACTTGTGTAGCTATGGATGCTTCATATGCTGTCAGCCTTGTCTCAATTCTTCATTGTTGTAATCATGTAAGGAAGTTAATTTCAAGACAAGGAGATTATGAATGATATGTCCTAATTAAATGGCTAATGACTTTGGAAGATGCAAATTGTCGTAGCCAGTTATGCATGAGCAAAGATGCATTTGCCACACTAGTTAGCATGCTTAAAAGACACTACAACAAAATTGGATTTTTATGGCTTCACATTAACGACATACAGCAAATGCAAGCCGTGGTTTCTCATTTTTACGACTTATTTTTTTTACATGTCGTAAATAATTTCTCAACCACGACGAGTCTGTTGCGTACGTCGTGAATGCTAATAACGATGGTTTTTTTTATGACTTGCAATGTTAGCCGTAAATAATAAAACTTTCTATGACGTGCATATGGCATGCCGTTAATATATCAACTATACATGACACGTGTACACCAGTTGTTAAAAATATTGAACATTTCACAACTCACAAAAAGTCAGCCGTTAAAAATTTCACTTTCCACGATATACAAAAAGTCAGCCGTTTAAAATATTATACTTTCCACGATACGCAATTGCTATCGTGAAAGGTATGACCGAAAAAAAAGTAGCGCCAAAATAAAAATTTCAAGCGCCAAACACCACAAAAAAAAAAAAAACCAAAAGCGGCAGTTCTCATCGTCAATCTATACGTAATGGTTCTAAGCATAAAGAAAGAACAAAGAACATGATCCAAAGGGGGAAAACGAGAAGAGAGGGAGAAGATAGAGGGTTTGAAGGGGAAGGGAAGGGTTTCAATGTCTCTTTCTAGACACTTCGACGGTACGGCAAGACTAGTTCGGGGACAGTAACGATCAACGGTACGCACACATCTCATCTCTTCTTTTCTCCCTCAAGCATCTGCATACCTAAACGATTGTCAAGCACATGCTTATAATCACTCCTTTTGATGGCTAAGGTCGCGAATGGCAAGAACGATCTCGTGGTGGAGGTGGTCGGCGTAGATGAGGTAGGGAGGGGCGTAGTTGTGGGTTTGTCGGGGTTAAGGTAGTTGAGGGGAACTAGGGGTGCCTCTCTTTCTCTTTCTCTCTCTATATATATATCTATGCATGTATGTATATGATTGTTTTCAAATTCTGATGATTCTGATGTCTACTACTAAAGGGGTTTCGTCTAGGGCTAAGGATGTAGTTAGGGATTCGAAATCACCAGCTTTATTGGGTTTAGGGAAAACGGAATCGGGTTTGAGCTTAGAGCAAGGGGAATCGGTAATTTCCTCTGAGGAGGTTCCTTCGATTAGTGTTAACAGATTGATGATGGGGAGTGAAGGAAGTCTTAGCCCTAGTTCAAGGTCGTTCGTTGCTTCGGTGGTGCGTTGGCCATTTGTATAAGTGAGGGTTGAGTGATGTGAGTCCCCCCCATTATATTGTGTGAGAGGGTGGTTTGTGGGTTGAGTGACTCAGAAGTGAGGGTTGAGTGATGTGAGTCCACCCCATTATAAGACAAATAGATTATTCTTCCTATGACTTTTTGTTGATGCATATTTACTCAGAAGTCTCTTGAAATTAGATGAAATTGTTCTAACTGATGGTTTCTCCTTTGTAGCTCATATTCTTCTGTATCTGTACCCTTTTCTTAATTTTTATGTATTTTATTATTTTGTTCCTCTCTTCAAACTCAAGTTGGTTAGTTTCTATCCTCCTTGAGTTTGCGGGGGGCTGTTAGAATACACTCCACTACTCACACTCACCTACTACACTCCACTACTCCTCACCTACTACCCAAACCCTCTCCTATATAATGCCACTCTGATTTGTAATACAAAATATCAAACATCAATATAAATCAATCAATAATACATATATTTTTACACAAAATAATATACATAAAGAATTAAAATCTAATTCATGTCTATAAAAATAAATAATAAAAAAAATCCATAGCTAGCATGAGTTTTATGGGCATGATCTTATCTCTTGAATGTTCCCCAATGACAGAAATATTTTTGAAGAAGTTAATAAGCTGTTTAAAATGAATTTACATATTCTCTCAGTTCCAACCAATGGTTATTATTATTTTGACAATTTTAATTAATATACATTTCCTTAGAAATTCAAACTGGTTCATAATTTCAAGGTATGTATTATGTTGTCTAGATGTTGGTTTTAGTTTTTATTCTCTTCCTTTTACTTATTTATTTTTTATCAGCAACAAAATGGAACTTTTATTAAAAAGAAGAATAAGAAAGAGATGCAAACAAAGGGGGACAAGGAGTCCTCAAAACAAAAGGTAAGAGAAGGAAAATCCCAGAAAAAAATAAAATAAGAGTCTGAGTCGCACACTGTATTCTCTTCCTTTTATGCAGGCACATATTAATTTAAATATACCTATGTAAAAAGTTTGGAAAAGAAATACAATTAAAACTATTCATTTCTTGCAGACTCTGTTTTTGATGGGCAGCTGCATATATTGGAAGCCATTTGCAGCCAACATTGTAGATTGCTTCTATGACCTTGAGGAGACCTATGATGAATTTTTTACCAAAACAGAGGTGTTGAATTTCTCTTTGATATTTGTTTCAACTGCTTTCTTTTTCTTCTCTCTTTTCCCCAATTTTTGAACCCATAAATTGTGACAATTTTAAGCAGTAAACAGCTGCCTAATCACACACTATGTGATGGAGAAATTTTTATGTGCAGTATGCCTCTTTCACTTTGTTCGCAATAATCTCCTCCCTCTCTCTTTGAAAGGGGAAGTTACATGACGTGATTTGTTTAATGTTAATATTCTTATAGAGGTTAATATTCAACAAATATCTTGGGAATCTAGCACATTTGTTTGTTTGTTTCTTTTCTCTTTCTTTTTTGCCTGCCCTATATATAGATTTGACAGCAAGTCAAATGCAGGGTTCAAATTTGATGCCAGAGAATAGATACATATCCTTATACGTTTTTGCTCTTTCCTTTCAATCTTTACTGGAAAACAAACAAAGCCCAAAGTAATTGTTACTATCAAGTTGTTACTTTCTTTGTACCATGTTTTTTTTCTTTAGTTGATATGTTTAGTGATCACTAGTTAATATGATTCCTGTTGAACTTTTCCTTTTGGGGCTCTATATCAGGTGAAGAAAATGATGCACAATATTCGTCAATATCAAGTTCCACTTCAGAAGTACATGGCCATGATGGACCTCCAGATGCCTCTTTAACTCACAACAACAACTCCAACTTGTTGATTTGAAGCCGTTGGTGCATACATGGCGTGCTTCGATGCTGCTTGGTTATAAATAATTCATTTTCAACTCATATAACAATATGGAATCTGGGATTATCAGCATTTGCCTCTTCATTCTTCATTCCAATGCCAGTGTACTTAAGATACTACAGACAGTAAAAGCATGACAGATTACTTCATTTATTGTAGCCTTTAAAAGAGTTTGAAACAGATGAAAACAAAATGGTAAATGTATAATTCTTTCATTTATTTATTTTCAATTGTTTTGGTTTACAAGAGAGGAATGAGGCTGTTCTACAAGCTTCTTATTGAAAGAGAAGTATGATTTTGTTTCACCTGTATTTATGAGGCTTACAAGTTCCGATAATTTCAGTTTCAACTTAAAAAAAGTTTCTTGCTTTCACAGGGGAAAGATTCTCGAGGTATTGAAAAATTGGCCTGAGAGGAGCATTCAAGTTATTGTCCTCACTGATGGTGAGTGAATTTTGGGACTTGGGGATCTTGGTTCCCAGGTGAATTCATGTTTTCTTTCTTAACTATATAAATATTTTGCCTCACGTAACAATTCTTACTTACAACCAGCATATGAGAATATTTACAAGACAGTTTTTTTTTAGAACTTCCATATTGACATTTGTTACTAGTGCTAATTCGATACATATTTCTATTTTCAAGTATTAGTTCAATTGTGGAAAATTCTTGTATAAAAGCATTTGTAGCTAATAACAGGTTAAATCATTATCAGGGGATGGGGATACCTGTTGGAAAAGTGGCTTTGTATACAGCACTTGGAGGAGTTAGACCTTCTGTGGTAACCCTCACTAGCAGATAATATACAGTATTCTCTATGTAGATGCTCACCTTCTTTGAAACCCGTACTTAATTACTCATGAACCTCTTTGATTATAATGTGTGTATGCAAGTTTCACAACCATTATGTTTCAAGAAAAACTACATAACATGGTTTAATTCTCAGCTTGACCATATAATCTGGATCAATGCCTTTTTGCTTGATTGTGCAGTATTTACCCATAACGATTGATGTGGGGACAAACAACGAGCAGTTGTTGAAGGATGAGTTCTACGTTGGGCTCCGACAAAGGAGGGAAACTGGGAAGGTCCATTGGTTTTGGCATTTTATTGCTTGCTTACAGTCATGAAAGGCATTCTATTTGGTTTTTTTTTTTTTTTGGCATTCTATTTGGTACTGAGCTAGTTTTAGAAAATTGATCTTCGGGAATATGCTGACCTACTTCATGAATTCATGGCTGCTGTCAAGCAGAATTATGGTGAAAAAGTACTTGTACAGGTGCACACCAGCTCGGTTTCAGCTCTAGTTTGAATATTTTCGAAGCCTAATCTTGTTAATGCAGCTCTAATATTGGTTTGATTTCTTACTGTCACTTTACAGTTTGAAGATTTTACAAACCACAATGCTTTTGAGTTGCTAGAGAAATATGGTTACTCATCTTGTCTTCAATGATGATATCCAGGTATATGGCAACATGGTGGTGGATCTGGTTACTGACTGTTTGGAATCCTTTGTTGTCGTCTAAATTTCAACCCAAATGAAACCTATACAGTTATAAATTTCAAGGGACAATTTCTTGTTTTATTGTGTTCTACAGATTCAATTATTGCTTTAGAAAATTTGTGTGCAGTTGGCTGCTGCAGTTGGCTTAGGATTGGTTAATTCTAAATTAAGCCTTTTCCCTAGTTTCTTTGTTTATTTCATGAATAATTATCTTGACTATGAACCTACAAAAATAACAATTTTGCAGAAAGATGAACAATGATTTTGAGTCAGATGAAGAACAGTGCATATTAAGACTTCATTTGTGTATTGGGGTGCTGTTGGATATGTTATGAATGGTTGAATTGTAATGCTGCTATACACTGATCATTTTATTAGTTTTAAGGGGAAGAAATTAGACATATTTCTACCTGCCTTTTTGCTTTGAACATAGTGTTGGCATTCTACATTGCAAGAAAAAGGGTACTAGTGAACTGTATTTAACCTCATTCCAGTGCTGGTTTTAGGATCTCTTGCTACTTAGTTCAGATTTGTAAGAAAATTGTGTCTAGAATTTTGTTGAACCTCGGACTGCCTGATTTTCTTCTTAAAACCTTTCCACTTCCTCTTTGGAAAATGACTTGAATGTCTCCAACATCTAGGCTCATCTTCCTTCTAATTTGCATCAAGGTTTTCTATGCCTCTAAATTTTGATTATCCCCTTTTTCGTAGCAGTGTTGTGTCACTGCATGTTAAGTTGGACAAACTGTTGACAAGTAAAGTAGTTGGACTCTTCTTGTAATTTCTTTTCTAATTAGATGCCTAACAGAAGTATTTGGCTCATTTGAGTCGAGTTTTTCCTGCTATCAGAGCAGATCGAGCAAAATGAAAAAATTACCCATTTCAATATGCCCAGCTAGAAAATTTCCATATGCCCAGAAAATTGCTCATTTACAGTCTCTGTTTAGGGAAAAAATGCTCAGAAAATTTTGTTTTCATTACATTACATTCTCCTCAATTCTCTATTTTACCCCTAAACCGCACTTGGGGTGGAGATACTGCGAATTGCATTCCCTGCAGTGCTGACATTAGTTGCTGACCCCATTGCTTCTCTAATTGACACAACATTCATTGGTCTCTTAGGTCTGTCTTGATGTTCTTTTTTGTTTTCTCCTGAATGACCTTAATTACTTTTTACTTGAATAATTTCTTGAGTTAATTGCACCTTGTGAATCAGGTATGCTTTTAGTTCAAATAGTAAGGTCTGTTCGTGGGGAAATAGCAGTAGAGTTCATATCCTACTTTGAGGGCAACTCTACCAGTTGCTATACATTGTGCTATTGCTAAAATTTAGCAAGATGGACACAAAAAGGGGAAAAAAAAAACAACTCTAGCAGTGTGCTATCATTGTGCCAAATTTAGCATGATGCTATCCACATCATTGTATTTTTAATATAAATTCAATAACTTAATATATATATATATATATATTTTAAAGATAACCGTTATATTAAATATTTAGAATTTGAAAGAATTCCATCGGCAAATATCTATTATTAAATTTTATTTAATTCAAGTATGAATAAAGCTAAATGAATTGAAGTTTTAGATATATCAATTACTGAATTATAAGTTTAGTTTAACAATATCCGAATACATATAATTTGGTACATGTGGTAGAAATTAAATCATGCTAAAAAATAGCATTTGCACTGCTGGAGTGGGTTTCTCGAAACATAGGATTTGGTTGATATGATGCAACTTTTCACAACCATGTAACTGGATGTTGCTGTGTTTGCAGAGTAAGGGTGAGGAGGTTGCTTCATATTTAAATAGTCGCTGTATATTTCTTGTTGGTGAGTTTTCTTTTGAGAATTGTCTTCCATAATTGTACTTCATGTTATTTTTGTGATTGAACTCTATGGAACGTGGAATCCAGGAATGATGGGCTCCGAAAAGACTACAGTGGGCAAGGTTTTGTCTGAAGCACTAGCTTATTCTTTTGTTGATAGGTTAGTGCGTTAACTTTAATGTGCTTGTTCTATCTTTTGATGAGTACAATATTTTATAGACCAAAAAACATCATAGGGGGGTGAACCCTGAACAATACCAAGCAAAAACTATACATCACAATTGGGATTACTTAACATGGAGGTCATTTAGTTTGTCGCCATTAATTGGTTCTGAAAGGCATACTGTATATAGGTTTTGGAATTAAGTTCGGAATTTGAAAAAAGTACGAAGTGGGTGGATTTAGACAATTTAAAAAATATGTTTTTCTCCTTTTATTTATTTTTATTTTTTTATTTTTTACCATTGATATGATAGAATGCTGCTAATTTTTAAGATACTTCGACTCATAAAAACAATGTCTATTGGTGCAAACAAGATATGTAGAACTGAATATTAAATTAGTTAGGCTTGAGTTTATGGGATTTAAATTGAGCTTAGGCATTTTGAAACTTGATTTGTATACCTTTCACCAAGCTTCAGCTAGTTGACTAGCCTAATCGAACATTCATATATTGCCATTTCATAGCATACTAGTAGAATTAGTGATTGGAAGTTGCTGGTATACTGCACTTGCTTACTCTATTGCCCATGAAACTGCAGTGCCTTTGTAGTATTTGTCAGCATCTTTCACTTTGAATCAAGCTTAGTGATGTTCAACTTGGCTTGTTAGGTCCCCAGAAAGATGGCAAATAGGGGGATGAAAAGAGTGTTTTATCTTTAAAATGTTCCAGATTTCAGATTTTTTTAGTCTCTATTTTACACTCTCACATGACAACATTTCATGTACATATTGGATTGAAAGTTTCCTTTTAAACTTGTAAATGATATAGACTCTAATTTGACTGAACTCCTTATTTTGGAACTTACAACGGTAATGGATAAAATCTATACAAACTTAAACCTCATACATATAGATCCTTTAACATAATTATGCAAGTCCCAAATAGGTGTTGCATTGAAGTGGATTAATTCCACCTTTTCCTCTTTTTAAATTTGATTTTTCTCTTGAGCTTCTTATGGCTTGGATTTAGTAGCAAACTATTGAGATCTTGAATTTTTGCTAATTTTTCATTATGACATTGCTTTTATGGGGCCATTGATTATCTTATTAATTTTGGAAATGTTTTATTGATATTTTAAAATTTCTTGACCATGTCTTAATACCTCAAGAAATATTTTTGTCCCTGAGCCGTTGGTTTTTGTACTTATGCGAAGTTTCCTTTGTCATGCAGACAAGAAATACAACAGGGTTAGTTGCTCCAGCTATTGCCGCGAGTTTAGGTGCCTTAACACATACATTGGGCACCCTTGTCCAGCAAACAGATTTGCTATAGTTGTAGCTGCAACTACTATAGGAACTGTTATCAGTAGTTTTAGATAATCTTTTAATAGTTGTCGATATGTTTAGAAAGTTAGATATGCATAGTTTTGGATGGTTTAAACTTTTTGTAGAGTTTAGAACTTAAGGATATAGTTTTCGAATGTTTTGAATGTATAGACAATTGTTGAATATTTATAATTTATAGATATAGTTTCTTTTTAATGTTTCAAATAATATTTTGGTAATTGATTGATATTTTGTGATGCTTGTTTGTAATATTTGTTAGATTGTACAAAATTGGTCAAATACAACCTGTTGAATTTAAAAATAAAAAGAAAAAAATTGCATATTCTACGGCAGACATAATAAGTCGTTGTATTACATATTTTACGGCGCACAATCAGCGTTGTTATTTGTCTCACCAATTAACGGCGTGCAAAAGTAGTCGTAGAAAAAGTAACAATGACGCACAAAATTTGCTATTAAATAGTTTTGACGGCGTACTATAATATGTCGTAGAATAAGTAACAACACACAAAATCTGTCGTTAAATAGTTTTTAACGGCGTACGAAACATGTTGAAAGTGAATGACTTTTCATGACTGGTCATAATATAACGCGTGCTGCACGTCGTCGCACGCTGTAAAATTTTTTTTTTTGTTATAGTGAAAACTAAGTTTCTTAGAGACAATCCTCAAAGTAAAGTAGAAGAACAAGTTGCGAAATTCCTTCGTATAAATGGCAATAATTTGAGGAACCTTATAATCAAGTTCTTTTACATACAATCACGTGAGACTATTAGTCAACATTTTCATCAAGTTCTTAAAGTCATTATATCATTGGAAGATATCTTTTTAAGGCAACCTGATGGATTTGAGTGCCCTCCAGAGATTAGAAACAATCCCAAGTATTGGCCTTATTTTAAGGTAGTTACATGAATGCAATTAGGGTATAATATTATATGTTTGGATACAAATAATGAATTGCTTACAGGATTGTGTTGGTGCAATTGGTGGTACACATTTTCGTGTAAGGGTGTTGAACAAGGATGCACAAAGATACCGAGGACGAAAATGCTATCCTACTCAAAATGTTTTGGTTGCATGTTCTTTTGATTTAAAGTATACATATATCCTTTTGGGATGGGAAGCATGGGAAGGATCTGCTTCAAACTCAAGAATATTAGATAATGCATTAACAAGAGAAATGGATAAATTGATTGTTCCTCAAGGTGATCACTGAACGTGTATATATGCTTTGATAAATATAAATCTTTTTTTTTTTTTTTTTCAAACTAACATCATTTAATTACTTGTTGGTCTAAGGGAAATATTACTTAGTAGATACAAGATTTCAACTAAAAACTGGATTCCTTGCTCTAGTGTTTTAAAAAGCTCTAGGTGCATCGAAGCACCAAGGTCACCTGGAGCCTAAGTGCCAAGACGCGAGGTGAGGCGTGCGCCTCACCAAAGCGAGGCGCAAGTTATAGAAGTTAAGCAAAATATTAATATAGCACAATTTTCGACATAAGCAAATATTTAATATGTATATTATTAATTTTTTTAATAAGAAGAGAAGAGAAGAAGAAAAAAAAAACAATTAATTTTTTTAATATATGTTTTATTTTATTTTATTTATTATATTTTTTAAATAATGTGTTTCAATTAATTTTTATGAGACCAAGAAAATTCTCTCACATGGATTGTAGAGATCCAACAAAGAGATGAGCTTTGCCCTAGTATATCTGCAAAGATGAACATAGTTGGCGCCACCTAACCGGGGTTGCCGGCTAGAGACACTCCGATGATAAAATTAGAAGCCATGAATGAAGAGTATAAATAGTAAAGAGTGTTGTGTGTGGAGTGTAGAGAGAGATCACCTACCTTTTGTGTATGGGGAGCCTTTTTAGAGGGAATAGATGATGTTTGTTTAGGATATTTTACTCATATAACTAGAATATTTTTCTGGCTCCCACTATTTTTTTATTTTATTTTACATACATGTGTTTATTTTTTTTTTATTACTATGTATAAGTATATATTATATTTTATATATTATCTATAAGTATATTATATATTATATAATGGAAAATGTTTGGGACCCCCTTTGGGGATGACCCCTACACCCCCAAAGCGATCATGGCCCTCCATGTATGTGTGTGGTTCACATCATGAGTGATCCAGATTTGTGAGGGTCTTGTGGGAGTGGAGGTTTCAATCATTGGTCTTATATAATAGGTATTATATAATATTATATATATATAGATGAATCAATTATATTTTATATATTATCTATAAGTATATAATAGGTATTATATAATATTATATATATATATATATATATGAATCAGAGAGAGAGAGAGAGAGATCGCGATCACGATTGCGAGAGAGAGAGCGACCGTGAGCAAGATAGAAGTGAGAGAGAAGATGACGACAGAAGAGAAGGGAAGAGAAGAGAAAAGAGGAGAAGAGAAGAAGCAGAGACGAACTTGAAAAAGACGAGTCCAGTTGATGTCGAAGCTCAGATCAGTCGATGGCTAGTACACAAACACAAAATAGATCAGTCGATGGTGAAGCGCACAAAGCGTGCGCCTTGAGCCTAATCGAAAGGCGCGTGCCTCAGCGCCTTACTTGCGCTTCTCGCAACTCGCCTCGCCTCGCCTACTTTGAGCATGGCCCTTACGCCTTGCCTCGCTTAGCGCCTAGGCACGCTTTTTAAAACATTGCCTTGCTCCATATAGAATTACGCGTTACCATTTGAATGAGTGTAGTGTTCATCAACCAAAAAATTCTTGAGAGCTTTTCAACCTTCGTCATGCATCTTTGCGAAATGCAATTGAAAGTCCTAAAGAAAAGGTTTCCAATTTTAGGAAGTGGGACAGAGCCATATTATGATGTTGACACTCAAGCAGATATTGTTTTGGGCTTGTTGTATTTTGCACAACTACTTGTTAGAAATGGTTTTGGAAAAATTAGATTTTTTTTCAATTTTGGTATATTTTTTAGGTAGGACCCATGCACCAAAGTTGGTGGGTCTAAGTGGTAACGCGTTCTATGCTACGTTGTGATTCACGTAATATATTTGGTTACTCAAAACTATTATTGGGTGAATGGGAAATTGAAGCCAAAGTGAGCTCCATGGAAATGATGTTTTTGGTGGAAATTTCTTAAGGTTTGGTTTAAGCCTCGTCCCACATTGATTTGGTGGGCAAATTTTTGTGGGTTTATAAGGCATAGATTTGTAACTTGGGGAGGGTCCCAAGGGGCATCCCAAGTTTGTAGAAGGAAGAGGTTATGAGCAAATTGGGCTAGACCCATTGGACCCAAAAATAAACACACGTGCGTTGCCACCATTCGGACGGGCTAGGCTGGGCTTAGGCGCGGGTGCATGGTGTTGGGTTGGGCTTGTTCGGCCTAATACTAATTCTTTTTGGGCCAAAAACATTTGAATTTATTTTTTATTTTTGGAAAATAAATTTTGACCGTTTGAATTTAAATTTCAGTTGGAAAATTCAATTTTTGCACCTCTTCAGAGTTTTTGCACATGCTTCATATCTATCCAAACAGATCCGAATATGTTCAAAATTCAAAACCCAAACAGATTCAAACCAAACAGTTTCTTATCTATCCGAACAGGTATTATATCTGTTCAAACAGGTTTTGCATCTGTTTAATTCAAATTGAACAACCACTTTTCCATCTATAAATAGGCAGTCCCTCAATTGATTTTCATACTAAATCTTCTTCCAAAAATCTGATTTTGCTCTCTGCATTTTGCTGCATTATTTTTCTTATGAGAAAGAGAGTAAGAGTGTAAACACTAAGTGTGTTCGTTGTGTGAATAGTTTGTAGTGCTGTTACTATTCACTGTTGATCATATTATCCTGTGAGATAGATGTCCACAATCTGAAAGTACCGTAGAGAGGATGAATCTGTCTTAAGGACACAGTGTTAAACACTGGACTTGACCAAAACTTTGTTCGAGAAATTAATAAAGTAAGTTGTTAATTTATTTTCTGTTTTATTATTTATTTATATCAGATTTTGGTTTTGTTTTTGTAACAAAATAAAAATCTATTTTTATTTATTTATTTTTATTTACTGGTTTGATTTTTGTAATCAAACAATCTCTCTCATTTTCTTTATTTCTTCTGTTTGTTGTTAAGTACACAAATATAATTTATTCATAATACAGTGAAGATTGTCCAACACTACCTCATGGGTATTGATCCCAATGAAAGTCTTATTGAGGAGATTGATACAGTGCAAACTAACGTGGCTAGATCAAGTTTAGCTGAAGAATGTAGAAAAGAAGAAATGTTAAGGAAACGAATAGCTACTGACATGTGGAGGGATTATAATATAAATCTTCAATGACAATCAAATTATAATATAGATCCTGGAAAACATAGAGGGGCTGGAAGGGTTATTTGATGTTCTTGTTCTTGTGATGTACCCATTATGTACTCATTTTCTTTATATCAATATAATCTTTTTCTTTTCCTGATAAAACAAAAAATTGACAAGTTAATTATTATTATTTGAATGTTATCTTGGAATGAATTATATTTTAATTTGTTCTTGTATTATGCGAGACATTGCATTTGTTTGGGTGATAATTTGCTACTAGCTATGCTCTTCTTCCGATATGTTTTATGGCATTTTTGAGTGTAGGCGGAAGGTGACCAATTAGAATGCTCGATAGAAAATGACAAGAAACATTTGAAATGGAATAATCAAATAGATGTTGTTCTTATTGACTTACTCTTGGACCAAATGTTCAAAGGGCAAAAAATTGGTGGTAGTTTTACATCATCTAGTTATAGAGCTGTAAGCAATGCGGTGAGCACCAAGTTTAGCGTACATTGTGATTCCAGTCATATAAGGAATTAGTTGAAGACTTTAAAAAGGAATATTGCAATGGCTAAAGATATGTTAGCAACTGACAGTGGTATGGGCAGCTTCAACACAACTAATTGAAGCTACAATAGGTATATGGGCAGCTTACCTCAAGGTATATCTTATTACAAGATTGATGTAGTTCTGTACTAGAAAATTAAAATATTCATCATTATTTAATATAATATTATAAATGCTATTCTCTATAGGCAAAGCCTAAAGCTACTCATTTTCCACATACTCCAATTCAAGACTTTCACAAGCTGTGCCAACTCTTTGAAAAAGATCGTGCAATTG